CAGAGAGATATTTTTTGAGGAAAGAATGGTCAACTTATCCATACTTTTTGAATGATCACCCTGTAGACACCATGGGCTCATGTGTGATACATGTCTTGGGACCAGTTCTGGCTCATTGTTGTGAGCTAAGTGATTGAGGGCAAGGTGTTTTCCCCCTTGGGCCTCAGTTTCTCATCTGTTAAAAGGAAGTAATAAATTTGAGAGCCTTTTTATCATAGAGTGGTTGCAAATATTAAATGAATTAATGTAAATAGAGTGCCACTAGTAGAGAATAAATACATGCTAGTGAATTTGTACTGTGGACATAATTGACAAGTTTGTGCACATAAAGGAGTATATTGACTTTAATTATATACACACTTATATATAAAACAAATTATATGTATAAAGTAGATATATGAAAGTATTGTTTGTACTCTTGTATCTTCTTTGAAATCTTTGTTTTTCTCAGTAGAGTAGCTCCAACCAGACCTTCCTTCCTATCAGTATTTCACTCCCAGCCCTCAGTGCAAGCCTGGAAGAAACACCCTAGCATTTTCCAAGAGGGAAATGGCAAGAAGATATTAGACTCTGAGAGGATTACATCACATAAATTGTATTAGTTAAGCACACGGGAAGTGGGAGAAGCTAGATGGATCTCGGTTAAAAAATAGTCACCTTCTATGTATTAGGCTCATTGGTTGGTGTAGGGGTCACAAAATCAAATGAAAAATGGTTCATCCTTTGGAGACATACTTATACAACAATGGTTCTAGGATAATGTGCTGGCACTAAAAGCATGCTGGAGTATTAAAGAAATCCCACAGAAGAACATTTAAATCATGGCAGAAAATGGAAGAAGGTCTCTGTGTGGGTAGGTCTTGAAATGAGTTTAAAATAAAGAGTAAGAATTTGCTAGACAAGGGAGTGGAACTGAGAGAACAATGACAGAAGCAACTGACAATATGCCACTTCAGGAACTGCAAATCTTTACATCTACTTCAATGAGGGAGCAGGAAATCACTTCTTAAATACTGGCCTAGAAATTTGAGTTCATTGAAAAATTTCAGGAGGAGATAAATCAAATGCAACTAATAACACACTTACAGTTATTTGAAGTGATTTACAGGGTACCAGACTGGCAGGAAAGAGGCCAGTAGAAAGGCTATGGTACAAAAACAAACAAAAAATCATATCATGCACTATAAGGCCCTGGATGGAGAAATCCATGCGGGTAGAGAGGTAGAAACAGGCTTTGAGAGGTTTCTTTGGGAGGAATTCTGCAAAGCTGGATGACTATTGAGTAGTGTGTGGAATGATCAGAAGGGATGATTCTATATTTCCTAGTTAGAGTGACTCCATACAACTTTAGGCCCTACCAAGGTAGGAAATAGAGGAGGAAGAAATATACTTGATTTGAAATTTGCAGACAGTTCTAAGAGTTGTTCTAACACTCTAGCAGCGTGAAAATATTAGCTAGAAGGCAAGATGAGAAAAACACAAAATCTTACAGGAGAAACAAGAAAGGGAGGAAGGAAACAAACTTCCTAAACACAATGTCCAGAGAAAACATAAGCAGACCTTGTCTAGAATGTGACTTAGCTAGATACTGTTTCCCATAATTTGTTATTATTGAAGAGTTATCTCAGGGATATACTGTTCTGGAAGAATATAGGAGCAGAAAAAGCCAGATGGATTAATGGAATGATCTGGCAATTTTATAAATATTACATTTTTAAAAAAACTCTTGTTTTCCCTTTCTTCAGAAGCACTGCCAAAGCCAACCCTCAGAATTACTCTGGTGAGGTCACCACTTGCCAGTTCCCACGGCTGAGCTCACTAATTTGTGCACCATGTTGCCTTCCACACACTCACGTGTCCTGGGGTTTGGGAGGGTGCCCTTTAACCCAGTTCCTGTGGTCACCACTAGCTTCCCTCCCAGGGGAAAGTAGCAGCGTGACCAGGACCATGTGCCAAATGCCTGTGTCAACTGGGGTCCTGGTTGCATGTGATTCCCTCCATGGCTAAGTGACTCCAATTTTCAGTGCAATGCCTCTCCACATAGCAATAAATTGAAATCAGAAGAGAGTTGAGATATTTTTCTGTCTTTTAAAAAAATCTTCTGAGTGTTTTTTTTTTAAAGAAAGAATTTTTTTAACTGTTTCAGGATCTGGCAAATTTATAGAAAGAAAAGGCAACAGAAAAGTGATTCTTAGAGAAGAACATGGCTTTGGTATCTATTCTTGCCTCCACAATGCACTTTTCACTAATTCTGGGGAGACTTCCCTCCTGCCCTAGTTCAAGCAGGACGTAGAGATAACCCAGTAGCAGCACAGGGCTCTCTCTAGTCAACTTGCAACATGAAGACACATGGATGTTTGTCATGTTGTCCTTCCTCACAAAGGAAAAGGGTATGTGAACATATACTGAATCCTGGGCATATTGAAAATATGAAAAATGTTCCCTCAGGTCACTGTACAGGAGAGAGGTTGCCTTCATTCCCCAGACTGACTGAAAGAGAAACTCTCATTAAACTCTCATTAAAAGCTTCCTTTTCTTGGGCCTGGGATTTAGCTCAGTGGTTCCACCACCTCCCCCATAAGTGCAAGAACCTGAGTTCAATCCTGAATACCACACAAAAAAGCTTCCTTTTCTTTTATTTGTTTTATTTTCTTTTTCTCTATCTTTCAATTTCCTGTCTTCCACATTATATTTTCTTTCTCCCCATCTCTTCTTTTTTATACTCTTCCGATCCTTTTACCTTGTCTCTTCATTTCTATTTCTTCTTGTTATTCTTCCCTTGCTTATTTTGACTCCCTCTTCCTTTTATCTTCTCTTTTTATTCTTCCTTGATAAAAATAAGTAAGCATGTGAACTCTACAGGCAGATTTCTACGTTTCACCCTAACTTTACCTCTTTTCTGAACTCTGTTATATCAAAATTTCTCTATAGACAATGAAAAAATACAAGATCATTGACTTCAGTTTTGTTGTAAGGGCTAAATAAGATCATGTGAAGAATTCAGCATAGCTTTGGTACTTACAACATATGACACACACGTGACATACTACCATTAAAGTATAGATTCCCTTTTGAAACCATGTTTTCTCACCAGGCATTGCTTTTATGTCTATAACACATCTTAGAAATAAAGCAGTCTCTGATCACAACTCTCCTTTTGCTCTTTGTAAAATCTAAGCATTATATTCTAAATCTAATTAAATCCTAAATTATCTAATGTTTCTGCTATTCTATATCACAAAAAAGACAAATCTCATTCTTTTATCTCATGACATATTTCCCTGTGACATATATACTTTAATGAAGTAAAACATTGCACATTAAAACAATAGATAATTTAGTTGGTCATTTTGCAGCTTAATAAAGTAAGCAGAGTGGGATATGGTGGCACAAACCTATAATCCCAGCACTCTAGGAGGCTGAGGTGGGAGTATGGCAAGTCTGATCCCAGTTTAAGAAACTGTGACTTAGAGAGACTGCTTAAAAAAATTAAAAAGAATTGGAGATATAACTCAGTGTGAAGGCCTTGGGTTCAATTTCTAGTACACACACACACACACACACACACACACACACACACATAACCTAAGCAGATTCATATTTTGTAGTCAGCCATTAAATTAAATGAAGGGAACAGTTTAGGTTTGGCAGGGCCAGTCACATGAGCCAATTTGTCTAAGTGGTTTTGCTGTAATGAATTTCAGACCCTACACTCATTGGCTTGAACTGATTTGTCTTTGAACATAGTTCTTTTTTTTTCTTTTCCTTTCTCTTTTTCCTTTTCTCCACTTTCATTCTTCTGTCATTTCATTTCTAACTGTAAAAATCTAAACAGTAATAATATGGAGTGTCAGAACACAGCCTAAGCTACCTTGGGCTGTGGAATACCCCAAACAAAATCAGCTTCTTAAAAAATTGCTAACATTGTGAATGAGTCCTCTTAATCCATACTCTTACCTCCCCCCAAAACAAATGGCAAGGGCTTAGCATACCAGTCAGTAGCACAGTCTCTGCATTACTCAAAGTAAGCAATGCCCGGCTGCAGTAGAGTAACACTCTATTCTTCGCCCAGCAGCTTGTGGACATTCTGTGTGTGCTACGTGTCTGTCCCACAACCTAGGAGACCAGGCCACCAAAGTATATGTCTTAAAGGAGATGATCTGTGGTTTTCACTGGATCTTTAAAAGGATCAGTTACTGAAAAGTGTTTAAAATCTGCTCTGACACCTGTAATCATGACTCTTACAATGGGAGAGGAAGGATTCAGGAACTGGGGAGGGGTTTCTCATGACATTTTTAGACCCAGTGCCCATGACTTCAGATATAAACATTCTGTGACCTCTTTTCCATGGAACAGAATTAGCTAGAGGGAAGAAAAGATTGTGAGTAGTTTGGGCAGGGATTTGTCTCTCAGATATCTATAGCTGTCTTCAACTCTTTCAATCTTTCCCTGCTCCATCTTCTTACAGTGAAGCAGGTGACTGGAAGTAGAGGAGCAGATGCTCTGAAAGATGAAGCCTTTCCCTTAAAAACCCATCAAATACCTGAAAGCAGATCTTTGAGTCTGTTTGGCAAAGTCTCTGATGCCAAGCCTGCCTTAATATTTTGAGTAGAAGCAGGCAGAGCCATGGCAGGGACTGAGGCATAAACAATATTCCTTTTCTGCTTCCTTTTCCCAGAATTAGTTGGCATGGAAAGGACAAAAGACTTTGTGTGAATCATTTCTAAAGCCACCCAATACATTGCTGTTTCTCATAACATGTCTCTGTGGATCATTGATGTGTTTTCAAGCAGATAGTTTTGTATGAAGCATTTATTAATGCTTATGTTTAAGATAGGTGTGTTCAGTGGAAGCATTATCTTTGAGGCCTACAAAACATGATAGGAGCATGCATATGCACATGGAGGGGGACTCTGTCCACAGACCATGGGCAGGCAAACTCACCATATCAAATGGTGATGAAGTCACAAGAAAATACAATTGAAAAACACACTAAAAAATATATTACATAAAATAATTTACTTCTCATTCAGAATGGCCTTCCAGACCTATTTATGAGACAGCAGTCTTTGAGTACAGGTACAATCTGCAAGTCATGATGATTATAGTAGGGCAAGACCAAGAAGTTATACATTTGAATCCTGGGTTGGCTACAGACAGGATGTGACACTGTGTATAGAAAAAGGGTCACTGACAAGGAACTCTGGGGACATTAAGAGCAAAATTTCCAGGGCCGGGGATCTAGCTCAGTGGCACTGCACGTCTCGCAAACACAAGGTCCCAAGTTCAATCCCTGGTACAAAAAAAAAAAAAAAAAGAGCAAAACTTCCAGAAAGACAAGAAGGCTTAGAAAACCTACATCTTTAATACAGTGGGATTTGTATACACACACCACAGAGTCTTCATTTTAAGCTCAGTACTTGGCTTAAAAGCCACCAAGGCGCCATGTATATAAATTACACTGGAGCAATGGATGCAGTGCGGGGGGGGCAAGTGTGTCCACACTTGGAAAGGCAATTGTTTTAAAAGAATGAGAAGAAAATTACTTCCTAGGCATTCATTAGTAATTCAGGGAAGATTCTATACCTCCGTTTATAAAACAATACAGTAATTAAAAACCATTGTAAAAACATCATAAATAACATAAATGAGAAATTTTCAAGTATTTTATGTGCCTTGAAAAGTTTCAGACATTAGTTCTAACAATTAGTATCCTTTTTTCCCTTTCTTTTCTTTTGTATTTCTTTTCTTTCCTTCCTTCTCTCTCTTTCATCTTGGAGCCTAGAAAGAAATAGCTGCATTCTCTGCTAGCCTAGATGTTTGGGATAAAATAAACAAGATTTTGCCTTCAAAGGGAAAAGTTATGAGGGCTTTTCAGTTTGTGAAAAATATAATTATTTTTCTTGCTTTAGGCTTACAAATGTAAGCATATAGCCTAGAACCATTATGGGGAAAAACAACCAGCCACTATGAACTAAGGAGGCTCATCTGATGGCTAAGTTTCTCAGGGAAAAAAAAGAGCACCTGGATCAAGAAAGGAAAAAAGGACAGAGGATAAAATAATCACCTTTAAATTCTGTGCCTTCACTTAGCATGTAACTTATGGTAGGGCTTAGCCAGCAAGGCTTTTGTTACACTCCTTCATGCAGCTCAAGCATCCCATCTCCTAGCTCCAGACCCATCCAGCCCCCAATAAGCATGGCCTGAGCACCCAGGCAAAGGAACAGCCATCAGCTTAGGGATTCAAAAGTGCCATTAGTGATAACTGATGCAACACAGTTCTGTGTCAGTCAGATATATAATTCTTTATGGTATCTTCTCCTTAGAATAGTGCTCAAGATGAAGACCATCTGTGGTAAATTAAACATGACCCTGTATTCACCTCCAGAAAGACCCATGGATTTTCCAGAACTAACTTTCCACAGTTAGGAGTCCTCTCTCAGCCTGCGTGGCAATTAGTTCACCTTCCCTTGTTCAAATGCTGGTCAAAGATGAGAACCGGCATGTAAATACATACACACACTCTAATTTGAGCACCTGGGGTCTTTCACATCTACTCGTGCAGAACACACACACATTTGAATATATAAACACATATAAATATATACAGAATGTACATGTATATGTATATATATTTAATATACACACATGCACACACTTATATATAATAGATCAACCTCACCGAAGCACAGAGAATCTGGAGGAAGTTCTGGCTGACAGAAAACATGTTCATGTGGATGTCACAGGAAGTGTACCACCCAGCCAACCTAAGATCATGTGGCTGGGAGGAGAGCACTGCCAACAATCTTTGATAATCCAGACCAACAAGCAAGGCCATCATCTGGATGCTTGCTTCATGACAGCCTAAAGACACTTACAGAAACTGGACTGGAATGGGGTCCCACCTGCTCAACACCCAAACCCCATGATTAAATTTAGCTTTTACACAGAAGTGGCTCCCACATGGCAGGCAGCATGAACACTAGGCTACAATGTGGATAAAGCACTGTGTTTAATACAGATCAGTATTTGGCCTCAGGTTTTCCAGAGCATAGAGTCTTGGCATTTTGGCCCTCTGCCTCCAAGTGAGACTTAAGCACACTGAGGAAGTGGAGATGTACAGTCTGCCAAACTCTTTGCTCCTTTCTGCTTCTCTGCCCCACAGCTGGAAGGATTGGCCAAATCAAGGTAGAATCTAGACTTGAGGAAGCGACGGTATGAATCCTTTTCCATCAGGTGGAAAATCTTCTTCTGCGCCTCATCAAAGCAGGTAATCGTAGGCTCCAGCATATTCCGACTTGTCTCCTCCCTGGTGCAAGAATCTAGGTTCACCTGAGGGGTAAAGACCAAGGTTTTGTTAAATGATCTATAACCTAGCTGAGGATGGGATGCTGCAGGGTTTGTACTGAAAAATTAGGCACTGTGCATTCTCCACATCCCAGAATGCAATGGAGGACCTTTGGTTCTATCCTGGAATAGGTGAGAGAATACAAAAAGTTCATTTTGCTCCATATTGGAAGAGAAATATCTTTTCCTTCTCCAATACTTGGGGAGATTGATCAGAAAAACTAACTAAGAGAGGTCACATGGATAAAAAAGAGTTCCTTTCTTTGCAGGGTTTGGGGGGAGTCAACAAGATTATGATAGCCTACTCCATTGTTCACTTTAATATATATGATCTAAAGTTCCATGCCACTGAATACCACTCTAGGAACCTTCAGTAAGATCTTGAGATTTCTGTGCCTTGTAAACTTACCTCCTTAGTTGCTTGGACTGAGATGAATTCATTATAGATCTTTTTGGCTTTGGGACTTAGTTTAGAGGGTGACTTGATTTTCTTGTATTCTTCACAACTGATCCAGAAGTCAATATTCTCCTCACTATATTCAGATTTCAAGAAAGCTTTGAAAGCTGCCAGCCCACCTGTGACACAAGAGAAAGAACCACAGTTGTTATCAGACTGGTTGGCTTGTTAGTTAGTATACTTCAAATAAATCTGAGCTACTTAGGGGGATAAGGCATGGGTTCAAGAAACCTTCCTTTTTTTCCCCTTTGAGGTTTACTTAGGATCTGACAACTCTAATTTGTGTTTGGAGATGCCAGTTGCACTTAATGATTCTTACACAAGGTTGAATCCTATTTCAAGAGATTATTGTGCTTCTAAAATACCTATGTAGCTGTCACTTGACAAAATGAGTTTAATGAAAAGAGAAACTGAGGTTGATTCTGAAGAAAGATCTCAATACTTAAAATATTTTCTCTCCATTTTTCCATGTGATGAGAGTAATGGCTCTTCACACAGTTCCTATATGAACTTCCCATTGTATATCACAAAACTCTAGGATATGGTAAAATTTTAAACATAGTAGATATAAGATCAACATTTATCTTGGGTCTGGAAGCCAGAAGGGGCTCAGACTCTGTGGTTCCTAGCAGACCAGCATAATATGAGATAACTTGTGTAATTTTCAGCCCAGGGGGGTTTAGGGTGTGAGACTTACATTCATGGCTAATCAAGTTTTCCAATGATTCAGCCCATTTCTTGACTTCCTCTTGGCTTACTCTAGAGACATTCAAGAGAAAAATAATAATTTGAATGTTGTTATGGTACAGAATTAGGACAAGAAAACTAGGATCCTAAATAAAAGCCAGAGATCTTATATCTTCCATTATTATGGTAAGATCTATGCTGTTTAGGACAGTTTTATCTTTAAATATATGGAAAGTTTCATTCCAGTATGATTTCCATGAAAACAGAGGTCAGCTTGATCCATATCTGGCTTAATTAGGGACATAATTTTCTACTCTTTTCATAGAACATACCTATCATCAGATAGCACAGTGAAACTTTACCAAGGCCTTATCTCTTACCTCTGGCAAATAACTACTTTGTCCTTCTTGCTATGGGAAGAATTATGTTCACAGGAATCAGATTTCTGCAGCAGAAAACCTAGCCGATGTTTCATATCTTTTGCACTGAAGAGAGAGAGAGAGGGAGAGAGAGAATTAATAGTGATAATCAGTTTTCTCTAAAACATACCTTCATGGTAGAGCTTGAAGAATCCATTGCCACTGCACACTTTATTTAGAGAATGGGAGTTGAAGTGGGCATGAACTCTTACGGGAAAAAATTTTGTCTTCTGCTTCTGCCTATGACTTATTACAAAACCATGAACTAGAGTCAAAATTTAGTTCCTTTATCTGTAACTGGAATTCCGAAATTTTAGTCTACCTCAGAAATTTCTTCTGTTTTTATCCAATAGAACCATTGGTATCATCAGTGGAACCACACTAAACACATGACTGTTCTTTGAGTCATTTTTAAGAATTTAAAGCAAGTCCAAAATGCAAAATATGGCAACTGCCTGCTCATGCCACCTTCTGGCAGATGGCTGCTATTCCCATCTGTCTCCCTGTCTACACAGAAGCTGCTCCAGGGTCAGGAAAATAAAGGTCTGTTAGGCTGCAGCCCTGAATATGAGAGGCCAAGCAACCCCATCATGGGGAGTACATGAAGTGTATCCTGAAGTGTGAAGCCCCTGCGGAGGGAAAGAACAAGCAGGTGGCAGACACCAATACTCAGGCAGAAACTTGAGGTCCTTTAGGCTTGTTTGTAGACAATCTCTAGCTCTTCCTTCCTTTTAAAATCCATACTACAAAGAGATGTATACACTAGCAAAGGCCTTTGGAGCACTGGAACAAGGAGAAGCAATCTAGAGTCATCACTAAAGTGAGTCATTGTTGTAATTAAGAGTTTCCAGTTATTGTCACTGTTTACTAGGCAGCCAGGGTATAGCAGGGCTCCTGACTAACTGGAAAAGGGGGGCCTGCTAATAAGCTTTTAGCTCAGCTCTTTCACTTTGTATTTCTTATTTTTTGTCTATATCTGTTTTATTATAAAATCTAAGTGATGGTTTAAAAAATATAAACAGCATTTTAAAAAGAAACAACTAGACATTCCTATGTAGTGGGGGAAATAAGATATACAAGGATAAAAAGACACTTAGACACACTAGTGGCTCATCTATGGGGGTTTTCTCAGAATGTTTGAATTCTGTTGTGTTCTTAGCCTCCCCTTTAAATACTATTTTCTCTCCTCATGGCATTATTTTGTTTCCTCTGCTTCCACAACTCGTGGCTGGTCAGGGGACACAAAAACCACCTCAGCAATAGCTAGCTATCATCATGAAGGCTGCAGTGATTCCAAGGTGATGACGTAAGAGTATCGTGATTCAGTACAGATAGAAAGTATCACATCTCCATGTGCTGCCTCTACCTGAAATCCAACAGTTACCGACCAAGGCAGGGCCATTTTATAAACTGGAAGGAAGCTTAGTGATACCCTTATAATATAAAAGAATCCTAAAAATAAAAATCCAAGTGACTTCAGGAGTCACTAGAGACAAGATATCTGGATTTGTCCCTCACTCTGTACCCACCATCTGTGTGACCTTGAGCAGGTAAGGTCCCTCTGGTGCTTCTGCCTTGCTGGTGAAGAGATGGACCAACAATTTACAGTCTATGGTGAGGGGAGACAGGGAAGAGCAGCTCACAGCTGACACTGAGCTTCCCTCCTCAATTAGCTACTTAATTAATTCTTCGAGGGCAGGGTTCTAGTGCAATCTTTTATTTGACTCCCAAATACACAGCAAAATTTTCTCCCAACATCCCTATATTTTGCATGTTTAATTTATATGTAATTTAACCAAAGTTTGTAGTAATTTGCTCTACCAGTTCAGGAAATTCATGATGACAGGAACTTATTTCCTACTCTTCTGCCAGACCCTCCTGCTTCATTTGAAAGAAACCATTAACACTTTCACCCTCCTGAGTGGCAGAATATGGGAAAAGTAAACTTCTCAGCAACACCCGAAAGACTATGCTTTCTGTGATTATTTTAAAATTGAAATGTAAAATGATTTCAATTTGTAGGTTAGCTGCAAGATTAAATAATGTAATATACACTCATTTTGTATTTCCTTTCCACTTAGACAATATATGAGCATTCTCTGAAATCATTTATTTATATATATATATTTAAAAACAAAGACAGATAAGTAGCTATAAATCTTTAAGGCCTTCTTTTAAGTCAGGAGTATATTGATAAAACAATGTCTTCAAAATGAGCTTGTCTACCATACTTTTTTTTCCCTTAAATTCTTTTATTGGTACATTTTAGGTATATAATACGTTTACATTTATCATTGGGTGTTTGTACCTGTACATGATATATCTTGGTTCTTATTTTTTCCCCATTACCTGTGCACCCTTCACCCCCTCCACCCTTCCCTATTTACATAGACTTCGTTTCCATTTTTTTTCTTTTCTCATAATTTTTCCTTTTCCTTCTTTCCTTTTCCCTTGATTTGTTATGACCAATACTTTTCACCTGCTAGGCACTTCAAAAATGAGAGGTAGGGCAGAGAGCAGGGTTGTCTGGCCTTGAAACTTGTATTTCATTGTCACATTTGCTTAGAAGAACACAGAGTGAAGGTCGTTGCAGTACTGCACAGAAAGCCTGGTGCTTACGTAGCCAAACTTTCATTTGGGACATTTTCTTTCAAATAATACCTAACATGCATATTGGAAAGCAGAGCTGTGATTTTATGTGCCCAAGTGATGCTCAAATCACAACATTAATCCCAGATGGAGGTCAAATTACATTATAGCCCTAAATCTCAAATTACTTCTTAATTCAAACTACCTGGATTCAAGCATTTATCTTTAAGGTCAAAATAGGTCTCAAAACTGGAGTCATGTAAAACACACAGGTACCAAAATTTGGGGAGCATACTTCCTAAGTCACAACATCTAGCTGTTCCTAGAGGAAAGGTAAGAAGTTGCTGCTCTCCTGTTCACATTGTTTCTAATTTCAAAGAACCAGCTTAGTAAGTACAGCATGCAAGTAACTGAGAAAGTCTTTCCGAAAGTTTAACATGATTAGTGGCTGAAAAGTCTCACCTCTTCAGGCAGGAAGCCGGGAGACCTGCAAGTCCTTTGCACATCTTGTTGAACCGTGTGAGATTCGCAGGTGGGAGAGAAATGCAGCAGAAGGAGCTGTATTTTCTATTTTGAGCACACGTTGCCTTTTTTCAGCAAAGACACTGTCAGAATCCTCTGAGCGAGCGTCTCCCTCCCAAGCCTGCAGGAGTCTCTTTTATAGCTCAGCCACCTCCGGCTAGCCAATCAGAGGGCAGCTCTGCCTGCTCTGCTCCTCTGTCTCCCTCTCCCTCTCCAGCCCCTGGAAGAGATGAGGAAGAAAAGACTGACGCATCTACAATGCAAAGCGACCAAGCAGAGAAAATCCTCTTGCAAAATAGGCAGACAAAATAATTTTGTTCTTGGCGTTTCTACCAGTGTCTGGGGTTCTGACTTCCTAGAGAAGGGGGTGGCGGGGGTGAGGTGGGGGTGGGGGTGGCGGTGGAAGAATCTAAAGTGCTGCACAATGTGAGGTTTGTTCATTTGTCTGTTAAAAATAAACCCGGGAAGTTGCATACTTGAAGGAAAGATGCCAATAGGTAATCTGGGGCTTATTTTAAAGCTGGTTCCTAACACACTTCTTCTTTTAGATTACAAATACGTTATACGTGCTCCGAGGTCTGATGTTCCCTATTTCCAAACAGGAGTTGATAGGATCATAGTTTCCAGGCAGTGATTTGTAGAAGTTTATTTCCTGGTTGTCAAGCCCAGGGCCAAATACCTGGGTGGAAGGAAGATCGGTATACGCCTCGCAGCACAGGCAAACTAGCCTAGGGAAAATAGATCTCTGTAGTCAACGTGACTGCGGAATACATTTCTAGGAATCTTGCTAAGGACAGGATTCAGCTTAACATTGACCATCTTTCCTGTATGTGCCTACAAAATGCCTCAGACAGCAGCTTGAGGACCAGAGGAGAGAGGAGATGAACAAACATAACCACCAACTGGCATTAGTAATGGGTTTATGTCTTGTGTAACTCTTAAGTCTCCAAGCCAGTATTTCAAAAGAGAAAGGAAAGCAGAAAATGACCAGAGAGAGAGAGAGAGAGAGAAAGAAATATGATGTAATTTGCATTTCATATCACCAGTCTTCATAAAAACATTCAGGCCTACAGGTGCTTCTGAACATCTGGACAGTCAGCATGTTTTTCATACAATATTAGGAACTAATGCATTAAAGATTCATGCAAGTATTTCACATGTTATAGTTGTAGCTAAAACACGCACATCAGAGTTACCCAGGAATCTTCTTTAACCGGATAGCTGTGCCTGGGAAGAGGAAATTAATTGCTATGTCTGACCATAATAGCTTTTATTTTAAAAGCAGATAGTTTCCTGATCACAGGCTATAGTCACCCATATTTCACATATAAGAAATAGAAATATCAGTGGTTTAGACAGAGAAGTTGAAAAACATATGGGTTCCAGTGAGATGCAAAGGTACCAAGATTGTAGAAGGAAAATGGTAAAGAGCAATATCCCTACGTGCACCTCCCCATGTCCCCAAGCATCCCGCACTGCCTCCTCTATTCAAGGACCCCTCCCCTCCTCTTCTAGAGCAAGGAAGGTTGACAGATACAAAAAGATGTGAGGACTCTAATCCTCAGATCATGCATTTAAATCGTAGGAGAAAGTCTGTAACCTTTCCCCTGAAGACAGAAAAACATTTATTAGATTAGCTGCTGAACAATTTTTCCTTGAGTTATAACATCAAACAAGTAAAAGTTGGCAGCCATCCTTGGCAGTGGTGTAGAAGAGACTGCAGCACAATGTGAAATGTAAGAGGCTGTCAGAAGAGGGAAGGTGGAACCTATGGGGAGACAAGGCAGGCATATCTGGCATCAAACAAGAAGGGAGAAGGCCACCCAAAGATGGGTTCTTTGCTTACACAGGCACCTAAAAAAATAATCACTCAAATCATTGGAGTTTAGGACCCAAAGGATTTATTGATGCTCGACCATGACAAGAACTTCATATGTTGAACCCAGAATAAGAGAATCCTGATTTATCCTGAGTTAAGTATAAATCACTGCAGTACATGAGCTGAATGGAATTTACAAAACAATTTAGTCTGAGACCTTCGCTTTACCAAAAAGAAAGTAGAGACCCGGGAGGGAAAGTGATTTGCCAAGGTCCCAGCTGCATCCAGAGCCAGCTTTCTTGATACTGAATTATGCAGATTTTCCATTGTCCTCCCCTGTCACTCAACAGTCCTATCAAATGAGATAAACTGTGTAAATGGAGATATTTCTAAACTGCAGAGTTCTGGGAAAACAATTTTTATTGTTAGATTTGATATAGTCAGTAACGAAACCCAGTGCTAATTTTCTACATTTTAGGCAAGGAGCTCTCATTCTGCCCAGAGGTCTGGAAAGGAGGAAACTACTGCAGATCTCACTGCCCCTTGGTTAAACCAGGTGATTTTAGCCCTGCTCTGTTTGTGTTTTATATTCAGCTTCTTTTTGACTATGATTTCTTGCTGGGAGGATTTTAATACTTTTAAAGACTGTTTGAAGAAGCTTCTCATAAATTAACTTATTTCTCATGCTGGGACTCACTGATTGTATTGAGGCTGAGTACTGGTACATCATGATACCTTGACAGCATCCCACCTTCTTTCTCTGATAAGCACACAACATCAATTCCATTGTGCTGCAATTTGTCATTCCTGAGTGATGCTGATAGTGTGGAAGAGCTTAATTCTCCAAAGATCTGTTTATATCTATTCATTTGTTTAAGGCATGTCTTTTGAGCACCAGCTGTGTTCCAGATACTCTTTGAAGAGAGTATTTAGTATGGTGAAACGGACAAGGTCTTCAACTAGTGAAACTCTCATCTCACAGGACAGAATCAGAAAATATTGTAAATAAGAAAATTCCAGATGTTGGCCTGCACCATGAAGAAAACAGGTAGGTGGTGTGATAAAGATTAACTGGATGGTGAAGGGCTCACCATTAGCCAAGGTGGTCAGAAAAGTCCTCTTTGAAGAGATGGTTGTCAAACAAAGCAAGAAACAGAATGTAATAGCCCAAATAAAAGCAAGCTCAAATGAAAATATTCTTTATTTAAATTGGAAAAGAATCAAAGGTTGAGAGACAGCAGAATGGCTGGAGTATTGAGAATAAAGATATAGTAGCAGAAGCATGGAGTGGAGATGGAAAGGTGGAGGCCACATGTGGCCAGCACTTGTAGGCTGTGGTAAAGAGGCTGGGTTTTATCAAAGAGCAACAAAAATCCACTGAATCACTAACCCAGTGGAGGGGCATGAGCTGATGTTCATGCTGGCTGAGATGAGAGAAAGAATTGAGATGGATGGGCAGGAATATGGAAGCAAAGAGACCAGTTGTAGAGTTAGTGTGAACCCTGGTTCATCAGGTCATCCACTGTAGCATGGAGGATTATGTCACAAAATTGGATTTATTAGACACTGAAGAAGACATTCTGCTAGTCCCTCGTAACCTAAGAAGGAATCATCAGAAATGGTTTGTGTTTTTCGGGAGCATACCCCCTGATGGGTGAGAAGCTTAAATACCTGGAAAACACCAGTGTGAGTGCCATTATTATAAACTCATTAGAGGATGGAGAATACATTTAATCTTTGGAATTAAGAGATTGTTAAAGGATGAATACAAATGTAGTCATTGTTCAAAGAAGAGCATTACAATACATGGTACCATAATTACTGCTATTTTTAACGTGCTGTTTGTTGTATGAGGCATGGTTTTAAGCACCTCATATCAATTAATCCAATTATTGTCCACAATCCATCCTGAGAAAATGATTCACATTTTGTTGATGAGAAATAGAAGGTTTGAATAACATGAGGTTACACATCTAATTGGTGGTGACCCTTTGCTAGTTCAAGCAGTCTGATTCCAAGGTTCCCCTTATTCGTCTCCTTGTTATCATGGCCATAAAGGATGAAAAAAACGGGCTGTTTGGAGATTAAGTGTTTAGCATGATTGCAGTTTTGAAGGACAAAGAAAGAAAAAATGAGGCTCCACAGATAGCCTGAAAACTAAAGAGTTACACTAAAGACCAGAATTTATTCTATAGCTGGCAAAGCGTGTGGGCTAGCCACAGTATTTAAGCTGATCAGATTAGTGTTCTAGAAAAAGAACTAGGGAAACAGAAAGAGAATAGACTAAATGTAAAAGAAACTGACAAAAAATTTTAAGACTAAAAAGAGAAAAATGTCAACCAAGGTCATTGTGAGAATCAAATGAAGTAAGACATATAAAAAAGCTCCTTTCCCTTCTGCTTGGGGAAAACATTTCTTAAGCACTTAGGGGATCTAACACAAGGAAATAAGCCACTGTGGCAGGCATTGGCTCTTTTGCTCCTAAGGGACACCACTTTACTTGGGCAGGATATGAGCCAAAGCTCAGCCTTAAGCAATATTTGCACCATCTCAGATTACAATTTCCTTTCAGCTGTTTGAAGTCTTTCTCCTTCTTTATTGTTAACTACAATGGCCTGGATGTCAGTAAAAGATCACAGTTACTGCTTTTTAAGGTTAAAAAGCAAACATACTAGGCTGGATGACACTCTATACCAGGAATTAAAAATAGGGACTTTATCAGTTTGCCTTAGTTGTTGGGAAATGTATCTTCATCTGCATCAAGCTTTTTAGGCACATACAGTAAATCAGGGACTCGAGCCCTGATAGTTGATGATAGCAGGTGATGAACCATTTGATTGCACTGGAAGGACAGTAACACACTTAATTACTATGGGTGGGGAGATCTTACCCCAAAAGTAGGGGAAGAATCAAATTATCTCTATCTCAAAGATTAAATCTTCCCTCTGCAGAGGTTGGCCCAAGATAGAAACAGCAGTTTCATAAGAAGTGTTCATTTGCATTGTGTGGTTGTAAGAGACAGGATGGTATTGTGGAAAGTGCTTAAACTGTACTAGAGGCAGACCTGGATTCTAATTCTAGCTCCTCCACAGACTGGCTGGGGAACCTGGGAAAGCTAAGGTAACCTTTCTGACTCCAGCTTCCTTTTGTTCCCTGGACTTTCACTTGTCTTTGGATTAAAATTTTAACTCAGTGTAATACTCCAGTACTTTCATCACTCCATCCCAGTCCACATCTGTCTAGCCCAGTCCATCTGTCCTTCTGCTCTGTTCTTCATCATGGTCGACCCTGCAGTCATCTTAGTGTACTAAGTATGCCCTACACACCTAGGTAGTCTCCTATTCTGTGCCTTGGGCCATGCTGTGCCATTAACTTGAATGTCATTCTCACAATATTTTACTATCAAATTCTTGCTTTCTGTTTTCATTAGTAATCAGTTGATAATTCTTCTATTCTCTTCTAGCATTGTGTTTGAACCTAACTTCTGTTTACTCTTTAAATTTGATTGTATTCTGCACAAGCTCAAGGACCCGAGTTCGATCCCCGGTACCCCCTCCCCCCCAAAAAAGAAAGAAATTTGATTGTATTTACAGTTGAGAGTAAAATTCAGTTTGATAAGGATTTATGTTGACACCTTCTGTGTATTTGAGAAAGATGATCACTTTTGAGTTAATAATGTAATAAACACATATTGGACACCCACATGGGCTAGGCTTTATACTGGGCACCAGGGGCAGAACTAGACCCTCCACTCCTTGATTTTACAATATATTTTGGAGGGGAGAAACATCCAGTTGAATCATACACCGCTTAATGATGGGGTTACATTGTAAGAAATGTGTTGTTAGGCAATTTTGTCATCGGAAACTGTACTCACACAAACTAAGATGGCTACCACACGACTAGATAATGAAATCTTATGGGATCACTGTTGTAGTTGTATACTTCATCCATCACTGACCAAAACATTGTTATGCAGTACATGACTGTATGTGGGCAAATAAGTGAAAAATTGTAAATTGGTTATGTGCTTTGAAGGAAAGAAAAGCAGTGATAACTTCAGAAATAACAAGTAGTCTTACATTTTCAGAGAATGAAGCAAACCTTTGAGGAGGTAGCATAAGGATAGAAAAAGAGCTAGATATGTCAATAAAGGGGCATCTTGAAAAGAAGAAAGCATGCATACGGCGCAGAGGCAGAAAGAGGCTGATGCCAGGGACCACAGTGGCTAGATTTTGGTGAGTATCAGCAAAGTACTAGGAGATGAAGTTGAGGAGTTTGATAAGAAAGAGATAATGCAGAGCCTAAACTTGGTTTTGTCCACAGTAGGAAGGAGTAATATCCTTTCCTTTTTATGGCCTACATTTCAAGGCTGTCCTATGGACAATAGGCTGCAGGAGATCAAGAGAATAAGTAAGAAGCTATAGCAATTATCTGAATAAGGGATGATCGATGCCTGTACCAGAGAGGTGAATATATTCTATCTCTAAATTTGAAGAGTTTTTGTTTTGATGGTGGAGAACCATTAACTTTAGCAAAATGCCCAACATTCCAAAATAAAGATGATTGTGGGTGCTAGGAAGCAGGTAGGAGAAACAAGAACTGTTGATGAATATGAACTGAGTCTTGCAATGTCCTAAATTTGGTGATGCTTATGCAGAGTGTTATGAGATCCCTACACCCTCCTCATCACAACTTCAGTCACTGTCCTGGTTGTGGACTATTAGCATTTAAATTTAAAAAGTATGTTTGGTATTGTCTCAGTTACTTTTCTTGTTGCTGAGACAGAATACCCAACACCTAAAGTTAAAAGGGGAAAGGTTTATTTAGCTCACAGTTTGTAAAGGCTTCAGACCATAACCAACTGGCTCCAAGGCAGGGTTCCACATGGCAGAGGGGCAATGGTTCATGGTGGACCAAAGGCAGCAAAGTAACAAGGGACCTTGACAGCCTCCTTCTGCCCCTTTCATTTTGTTTGTTTGTTTTTTGGTACCGGGGATTGAACTTGAGACCTTGTGCTTGCAAGGCAGGTGCCGGAACCACTGAGCTAAATCCCTGGCCCTGCCCCTTTTATTTTATCCAGACTAGTAGGGCCGGTAGCACTCACACCTTCAATCCTAGTTCCCTTGAGCCTAGAATTGCATAATGAATAAATTTCAGTGTCATGCACTCTAGATCCAGCCACCTCTGAAAAAGCCCCACTTCATTTGCATGAAGCTTTGGGGGACATCTAAACACAAGCCATAACAGGGATCAAAACAAAGAAAATGTAAGGTTCCCAAAAAAGGAACTCCCCAGGGATGATTCCATACTGGTGTGGAGAAGCAGAGCGAAGACAAACAGGAAGCCATGCCACTGGCTAGAGCAGGTTCTGTATAAATTTACAGACAAAAGTCTTAATTGTAAAACAAAGGGGAACACAGCTTGGAAAAGACTGAACAGGTCTCTTAATAAAGGACAATAAGAGAAGATAGAAAAAATGCTTCAGTTTGAGGATTTAAAAGTAGCACAGGTCTCAAGAGGGGGATCAAACTGACTCATTTATAAAAGAATGAAGACCAGTTTTATAGGGTGCTGCCAAGGGCTAGGGGATCTGGTTGATCATTAGCTCAGCCCTTGTTTTACAGCACTAAAGGAACCTTCATGGCTTGAGAGACTCTTCTGTTCTCATGAAATAATTATCTGTTTGTGGCAGTCTTGGTCATGTAAGACTCTGATTTTCCTGGAACACAGCTGAGTACAGATTTAGGACAACGGTTGCAGACTTCTAGGCATCACTCTGAGAGGGAGGCAGATACCTGGAACCAGACGTACAAGTTGGTAAATGCATCCTCCCTTAAATCCTGAGAATTAATTTAGTTACTCTTATCTTGATGCTCTTAGTCTTGAAGTGGGAAGATAGGCTAGGTAAATTTAGGGCTTGTAAACCTGTTTTGCTAACTTTAAAAAAATGATTAAAGTATCTACTATCCGAAAACTTAAGGCAATAAAGGGTGCAAAGTGAAAGTCAATCTTAGTCCCACTGTAAGCCCAAGGGAAGAGTTACAG